AAATTCAAACAGATGTATCAAAAGGTAGATAAAGGTTTAAAGTAGCATCAGTTTCTGTCCCGTAGAGTAAGTAATTGCATAGCAGAACACATCCTAAATGAATTTAAAACTATAGTAGGAAAAAAAAAAACTTAAATTTTTAATTTCTTACTTCTGTATTCTCAACCAGTAATCCCCTTTTTTAAATCAATGAGTCTGAGACACTGTCTTCATATCTAAGATAGAGTGTTCCATTTATGAATATTTCCATAAAGTAGCAAAAGGCCTGGTGATATCGATCCAGATGCTTATAAAGAATCTAAATGTGGAACTGCAGAGTGCTAACCACGACATAAACCCTCAAATTTAGCAATTTCTGAAACAGAGGAATCAAAAGTGAAACATTTCTCTAAGGAAGGAGATTTGGTCTGGAAACAAGAAATCAGAAAGTTCAACCCTATGATATAGCTTTAAGCCAATGTTACATTTGGTAGATGAACCAATAAATGCCAATTATACAATAGGAGAAGTCACAGCTACTGAAGTGAGAATCCCTTCTCCGGGGTCTACTTGAGTGCTGCACTCAAGTGTCACCTACTCAACAGTGTGTATCAATATGTAAGAGTTTTCAGTGTTTGACTCGTGGTTTAATAAATATTGAAGGGTAAAAAAAGTGGGAGGAAAGAAAAGTTTTAAAAGTAGATAGACTTACTGTGTCTCATTACAACTTTAATTTACTCCAAGACCTGAAAACAAACAAACAAACAAATGGTCATGTTTGTGTTACCTATGAAGCTACTCAGGAACATCCAGGTCTAGAAGTGATTGACGAGCTGCAGAAGGCCCTCAGAACTTTGTGACTAGGTAAACAAGCATTATCAACATTAACAAATGCAAAACAACACACCGGGTGGGGAAATCCCTATGTGCAAAGCTTGTTTACAACTAACCATCAGGACTGCATGGAAAACAAGGGAGAAGAAGCTTCATCAACATCAGTTTAGTATCAACGAAAAAAGGCAAATACAATTTTAGGGCTATGGAAAGAAGGAAACGCAAAATGTTTTCATCCCTCACAGCAACAGTATCTTATGGAGCGCTTCTTCAGTCAGCCTCAGAAGATGAGAAGAGGGCAATGGCTTCAATCCAGCAAGAGGAAAGATGAAGGAGAAGGAATGATGGAAATGAAAGGCTATGATGATAATCACCTATCACAAAAGAAATTACCTAAAGGATAACTAGTGGGGGACAACTTGCCTTTTCTCCTGCAGGAGAAAATTCCAGAAGATATCCGCTGCTTCACATCTGCTGCCTGGGACAGGAAAGTGTTTCTCACACAAGCCCACACTGAAGCTGGGGAGTGCACTTCCACACAGCCTTTCCAAGATAGAAATACTTGCAAGTGAGACCCAGACAAGAAGTTGCCCTTGCTGGGCCTTTCTAGCCCCAAGTGGGCTGTCATGCTCACCTTGGAGCAGATAACATTTCTGCCAAGTTTTTCTGACAGTGGCCACCAGTCAGAGGCTTAGGAGAGAGAACACTGGGAGGGGCGGATCTGTACAGATCAAATTAGTACAACAGTTCAGACAGTAAAGCCTACAAAAGTTTTGCATTATGGCCTACATTCATTTAACTGTATTGTGATTTTCAGGTCTCATTTCACAGCTCTACAGCTGTATACATGTACTTAGTAAGCATACTTCACACACATTCATCAAGATGAAACACTATCCCCAAATTACAAAGCATATCCCCAAATTAGAAAGCATATCCCCAAATTAGAAAGCACCAAGTATTTATCAGAAACATCCTTCACTTTAGATCCTTACTTTTCCACAAATTGACAATGCAAGTAACCTATTCTTTTATATATATGTTTCTATAAATAGAGGCAGTCCACCTCCATGTCCCGTAAGATCATGTAACAGATTCACCTGGAAGATAAGTCAAAACTTATGGAAGACAAGAAAGTAATCAGGGACAGCCAACATGAGTTCACATGCCTGATTCACCTGGTGGTCTTCTGTGACCATGTGACTGCATCAGTGGATAAGGGAAGAGTGACAGAAATCACATACCTGGACTTCTCTAAGGCTTTGATAGGATCCCCCATAACATTCTTACCTCTAAACTTGAAAGATATGGGTTTGATTGGATGGACTGTTCAGTGGATAAGTAATTGGTTGGATAGCCACATCCAAAGAGTCACAGTCAATAGCTCAATGCCCAAGTGGAAACCAGTAATGAGTAGTGTCCCTCAAGGGTCTGCACTGGCACCAGTGTTCATGTGGATCTCATGAGGTTCCCCAAGACCAAGTACAAGGTCCTGCACCTGGATCCAGGTAATCCCCAGTATCAACACAGACTAGGGGATGGTGAGCAGCCCTACAGAAAGGTCTTGAGCATCCTGGTGGATGAAAATTTGGCCATGAACCAGCAATGTGTGCTTGGAGCACATAAAGTATCCTGGGCTACTGGGTGGCCATCAGGGTGATTCTCCCACTCTGTTCTACCAAGACCCCACCTGGAGTACTGCATTCAGCTCTAGGGCTCCCAGTACAGAGGAGAGACACAAAAATTGTCAGAGGGCTGGAACACCTCTCCTGTGAAGACAGGTCAAGAGAGCTGGAGTTGTTCAGCTGGGAGAAGAGAAGGCTCTGAATAGACTTTATTACAGCCTTTCAATGTACAAAAAGGGCTTAAAAGAAAGATGGAGGAAGGGGGAGAGAGAGAGAGACTTTTTACCAAGGCCTGTAGAGACAGGACGAGGGGCAATGCTTTTAAACTAAAAGAGCTTAGATTTAGATTGGATATAAGGAAGAAATTTCTAACAATAAGGGTGCTAAGACACTGGAGAAGGTTTCCCAGAGAAGCTGTGGTTTCCCATCTGTCATAGTTTGAAATTGGCCCCCCCTGAGAGTTCGGGGGCTCAGAGGTGATTGGGTGCCAGGGCAGTGTTCCCTGGAGAGCAAATCACCATTCATGTTGTTTGCTTCTGCTGAAAAATCATATATCACAGCACAGGAAGCTGCTGGCAGTGTTTCTGTTGGCATCTGCTGCGTGTGGGTGGAGAAGGCCAGGGGGTGGCTGGGCTCCTTCTTTCCCCCTCCGGAGGGGAGGGGGAGGCCTGCGGCCCCCAACTCTGCCTAGGCCAGAGTTAGAGTCAGCATTTAGAGTGAGTGTTTGTGAGGGATGTGACTCACAGCACCTGAGGTAAGAGGAGAGAGGCAGGCTTTGCAGCCAAGCCCTCTCCCCTCTCCTTTCTGCAGTTAAGCTGTGGAGGGGGGCTTTTTTTTTTCTTTCCCTTTGCTGTAAAGTGGAGGAGAGGCTCAGCATTGAAGCTGAGCCAAGAGATGGGCCAGAGAAGGAGGCTCGGCGCTCAGGAGAAGAATCCCAGGTGAAATTGGAGATGGGCCAAGAGCTTGGGAGTTGCCCTGCCGAAGCTGACCGGGGGCAGCCGAGAACTGACTCGGAGGACGCCTGATAAGCTGAACTACACTGCAGCAGCCTACAGACCGAGATATGAGATTGAGAAAGAGAGATCACGCAGCAGACCGAGGAGAAAAGACTCAAAGCTATCTTCTTGGACTTTGTGAGGAGGAAAAACTTCCACAAACAGCTAGAGCTGGGTGAGGGGGGAGCATTTGGGTTCCCCGAACACTCCCACAAGGGAGAGACTGGTTACTCAGCAGCCTGAAAAGGCTTCTCCTGGACTAAATTTAAGGAGAGGGGTTTAAAAGGACTGATAGAAATGTAACATATATATATAGTTGGCATTAGTTTGTATAGTATTTATTTGTGTAAAATAAATGTATATACTTCTCCCTTCCCCTATAGAAGTCTCTGGCCTGAAAGTTTCTCTCCGGTGTTGGGATAAATTGTGGGAAGGGGTGGGGGGAAGCCTGGAAATTGGATTTTGGATTTCTAATGTGGCTCAAACTGCCATCCCTGGAAGTGTTCAAGGTCAGGTTGGACATAGCTTTGAGCAACCTGGTCGAGTGGAAGGTGTCCCTGCCATGACATGAGCATTGGAACTAGACAGTCTTTAAAGGTCCCTTCCAAACCAAGCTATTCTGTGTTTCTATGATTCTAGGAAAAACTACTGTGTGATACAGTTTTTAACATTACAGGAACTGAAAGTTGAAGGGAGACATCCTTTAAGGCAGAAATTAGGTCTCAAAACTTAATCAGTGCACTTTTAACATTCTTACTAAGAAAAACCCAAGCTGCTACTAGATAAAAAAAATTAACCTATAAGAGTGAGTATTAAAAGAAATACCTGATTTTTTTTTCAAGTTCACGTATGATTACTCATGTCAATAACCCCCTTGGTTTTGCTTAAATACCAGGTACTATTATTCACAAATGCAAATACTTCTGATTTTTTACTCCAAATTCTGACTTTTAAGGTTAAATTGCACTTTATTTTAAATAGCTTATAGTAAAAGCATGGAAGAGTAAAGAAACTTACCATTATGCCACCAACTATATGACACTATGTGTCAGAACTTGAGTTTTAGCTTACAATCACATTAAAGGTATACAACATGCAATCATATTCAAGTTTACCCTCCTCTTTCCAAGTATAACTTAAATGTTCAACGACATTTCTGATTTCTTCCTGTTTTATATTGCATTTTTTAGAATGCTATTTTGTGCTGAAAGGCCCAACTGGTGCTCAGGGGTTAACAGGAAAATATTTGACCCCTCAGAGGCATTCAGGTAGATTTCTTAAAAGAAGAATAGCAATCACTCACTGTCAGCTTTGACTTCATTAAATACAAAACTGACTATGTAAGGATTTAAGTTAAATAAAAGGCAGATTTCTACCCCTGAAGAGTAAGTTTTGGTTGCTAGTCCTGAAGAGCAAATTTTGGTTGCTAGTCAAACTTCTTCCCTGCTTCCCCCAGGAAAAAAATCTGTGGAGGACAGCATTGCACAGATCACAAGAAAGGCAGGAGAATTCCTTTAGTGCGGAAAGTGCCTGGACCGTTTATCTCAAAAAAACATGGGCCAGAGGCTTGTGAGCAACACGTAGGTAGAATATAATTAATCAGGACTGAAAACTAAGGTAGAATTCTTCTGCTTTCATTTTCCATCTCAGAACAGCAATGGGAAGAGATCACTGCACTAGATGTCGTCATTGTACTCCCTGTACTTTGCTGTGGCAGCTTCCTCAAGATGAACTGCAGCACCACCCATTAAAGCAAATGCTGGGTACATTATGCCAGAGCAATCCACCTCGCACTCATAAAGGCATTTCATACGGCCTGCATCATAAAACCCTACCCTGCCTCTGTCACAGTCAAGGCAAATGCCCAAGCATGACGGCAGGGGAAGGATTCTGCTTGCTGGATCCTTGAGAGCAGCAGGTGTAGTGGGGATAAAGAACTTCTTCATGCCTAAAGTGACCAGTGTGCAAGGCTGTGATGAGTCAAAGAAGGCATCTTCACTCCCGCTGTCATGACCACTGTCTTGCTCGTATCTGGAACAGAAAAACAACCACGTGCATTTGTCAAATTCTGAAGCGATGTGAACTGGAGAAAACATGTTTGTAAGAAAGGAAACACCACACGATCACCCACAAAAACCTCAAAGAATATCAGAGAATCATAGAATACCCTGAGTTTGAAGGGATCCACAAGGACCATCAAAGTCTGACTCCTGGCCCTGCCCAGGACAACCCCAATAATCAAATCACATGCCTGAGAGCATTGTTCAAACACTTCTTGAACTCTGCCAGGCTTGGTGCTGTGACCACTTCCCTGGGGAGCCTGTTCCAGTGCCTGACCACCCCCTGGGTGAAAAACCTTATCCTAATATCCAGCCTAAACATCCCAACACAGCATTATGCCGTTCCCTTGGGTGCTGTCGCTGGTCACCAGGAAGAAAAGATTTGTACCTGTCCCTCCGCTTCCCCTCAGTTTCCTGTTCCCCAGGCTGAACAAGCCAAATGACCTCAGACGCTTCTCATACGGCTTCACTTCTAGACTCTTCAACATCATCATAGCCCTCCTTTGGATGCTAACAGCTTAATGTCTTTTTTGTATTATGGTGCCCAAAACTGCACACAGGACTCGAGGTGACACCACATCAGTGCAGAGCAGAGAGGGACAATCCTGTCCCTTAACCAGCTGGCGATGCTTTGCCTGATGCCCCCCACGACACGGATGGCCCTCCTGGTTGCCAGGGCACTGCTGACTCATATTCAACTTGTTGTTGATCAGGACCCCCAGGTCCCTTTCCATGGCACTGCTTTCCAGCATCTCATTCCCCAGTCTGTCCATGTATCCAGGGTTCTCCAATCCCAGGCTTAGAATTCAGCACATCTTTCTTAACCTGCATAGGGTTGGTGATTGTCCAGTCCTCTAATTCGTCGAGATCTCTCTGCAGGGCCTTTAAGGAGTAAACATCTTCTCCCAGTTTAGTATCAGCAGCGAATTTACTTAATGTACCTTTGAGTCCTGCATTCATTTGAGAAGATATTGAAGAGAATTGGGCCGAGGAGAGAGCCCTGTGGAATCTCACTGGTAACCAGTCACCAGTCTGATGCTACCCCATTCACTAAAACTCTTTGTGCCCAATCCATGAGCCAGTTGCTCACCCAACATACAATTTATTTATGCAGCAGTACACTGGGTGTTTCATCCAGAAGGATCCTGGGAGAAGCAGTATCAAAAGCTTTACTGAAATACAAAGAGATTACAAGTGGCTTCCCTTGGTCAGCTAGGTGGGTTACCTTTGTCATGAAAGGAAAGTAAGTTTTTCAAGAAGGACTTCCCCCTGGTGAACCTGTGCTGGCAGTGACTGATGACTGCACTGTCCTTCAGGTTTTGTTCAGTAATTCCCAGAATAATCCTCTCCATAATTTTACCAGTCACTGAAGCAAGACTGACAGGCCTGTAGCTACCAGATTCATCCTTCCTGTTCTTCTCAAAAACCAGAACATTTAACAGCTTCCAGTTGACTAAGACCTCTAAAGACCACTGAAATACTAGTGAGATCTCACAATGACACCAACCAACTCAGTACCCTAAAGGTGAATCCCCTCAAGCGTCACAGACTTATAGAGATTCAGGTGGAACAGAAAATCCTGCACAAGTTTGGGGTTGGCTGGGAGTTGATCATTCTCACAGTCATAGTCCTCAAGCTCTGGGACCCCTAGAGCCCATCAAACTGGTGTTGAAAACTGAGGTGAATAAAGCACTAAACACCTCTGCCTTATCTATGCTCCTGTTAGTGAGGTGACCATCCCCATATTGTAATGGGCCAATGTTATTTCTGACTGCCTTTGGTTATTAATTTTTTTTAAAAAAACCCTCATTTTATTGTCCCCCACAATATTGGCCAGCTTCAATTCCAATTGGACTTTGGCCACGTGAATTTTCTCCCTACAGTAGCGAGTGGCAACTCTGTATTTCTCCCATGATGCCCAACCTTGCTTTCATTGGTCTTTCTTTCTTTTTTTGCCTTAAGTCTAGAAGATCCCTGCTCAGCCAAGTCAGCCTTCTGCCTTGCCTGCTTGACTTCTGAAATTTTGGAATTGCCTGGTCCTGTGCCCTTAGCAGGTGGTGCTTCAAAAATCATCAGCATCTTCAATAGCATTTTCCCAGGGGACCTTACTCACTAGTTCCCTGAGCAGCCTGAAGTTTGTTCTCTTCCTGTCCAGAGTTGAAGCTTTGCTGGCACTTTTCCTCCTGACAACAGATATTTTAAGCTCAATTACTTTGTGGTTGCTGTGGCCAAGACAGCCACCAATCACCAATTCATTCATGAGACTCTCACTGCTAAAAAAGAACAAATCAAGGAGGGCACCTTTCTTAGTCAGCTCCCTTAGTACCTGTACCATAAGGTTATCATCCATGTGTTTTAGGAGTCTTCTGGACCTGTTTGTGCCAGCTGTGTGATGTTCCCTATTAACATCTGGCAAGGTGAAGTCCCCCATAAGGACAAGCACAGTTGATGGAGAGATGTCCCCTGGCTCCTTAAAGAATAATTCATCAGTGTCATCATCTTTGCTGGGTGGCCTGTAGTAGACTCCCAGGATGACATCTACTTTATCCCTTAATCCTTACCCAGAAGGTGATGGCTCAACTGTGCCATCACCAACTGCAAGCTCCATACATTCCAGCCCCTCCATTACACACAACACCACCCCACTGCCTCGCCTGCCCTGCCTGTCCCTCCTGATGAGCCTGCAACCATCCAAGGTGGCACACCAGTCACAAGACTCCTCCCACCAGGCGTTGCTTACACCAGTGATACACATCTAAGCCAGGAAGGAAGACACATTTAGTAGGTGGAGAACACTCACTTGGGCCACTTCAAATAATAAACTCTAATAAGGACAAGACCACAAAAGGCTTTACTAAGGAGCGGATGTGTCTAAACGTAGTTTTGCTGGGCAATCATTAATGAACCTACAGGTATAGTAAATTAGCTAACTTGAGAAGTAATTTAGCAGAAATGACTAATTCTTACAGATAAGATGATGTCCAGTGAGTTTTCCATACTGTTGCTATATTACAGTATCTTTAAAATTCACAACAAAAGATAGTGGCTTCGTGGTTTAATTTTTGGGGCTTTTTTTTTTAAGTGCTCTGTCTGAAGGCTTTTCTGGACCACTTCCCATATGGTTACTGGATAAGGTCCTAGCCATATTTGCTCAGTCTACATGTTTTTCCCCCGACCTCTGTCCAATAAAGACATACCAGAAAAGCACACATTTTTCAGTGCAGGCAATCCCTACCTAGGGACTCCAGGTGTTTCAGTTTCGGGGGCTTTGAGCGGCAGTTGGATATGCGTTGGCTAAAGTTTTGCAGATACATGTGTTGATAAGGAAAAAGAAATCAAGAAATTTGGATCTAATTTTTCACTTTGCAAAAATGCTCCGACTTTAATCAGCTCAAGATCGAGTTGACACACTTCCAGTGTGCTACACAGGTGGAAGCCAATATATTTGTTAAATTTCTGAAAAAGAGTCCGCAGGAGATAGCCTCCCAGCCTGCAGTTCCTACACATATCCAGGTTTGCTACAACTGTACTTAAGAGATGGATATCTTTTTATTAGTTTGCCCACTGTACTTTGGCTTGTGCTTAGTACTGTAGCACTCCAGTACTGTATGTAAGCATACAGCCTGGGATAAGCCAGTGACTTGGAATCCACTGTGAAGCAAGCTACTGCAAAAATATGCAAATATGCACAGTGAACATTGTACCTCTGAATGGCTGCCAAATCCAGTAAAGGGGATTCCCTAAGGGAATTAAGGCAGAGTCTTACCACTGATAATTAAGCATTGCTTCGAACTTACAACTTTCGCTTTTTTTTTTTAACCTTCTTGCTTTAACTGACATACCTTTACATCTACAGGAATCTGACTTCTTTCCTAAAAAGAAACAAAATAGGACTCTGGATATCAGAACATCTTCCTGTTAACAGTAGGGATGAACAGGACAATCTGCTTATACCATGTTCTTCAAACCACTTTTCACTGGTTAGGCTCATTTTGCATACTGAGACCAGACTTGCCCTTAATTTACTTTTTAAACAGCCATCTCCTTATATAGAGTATACATTAAGCAGAGTCTGCAATTTACCTTGGACTGGTCACATCATGGGTACTGTGGAACAATTTCTGTATCTTGTTGCTAGGAACAACTCCCACTTTTACCAGGTATGAATAGGCTTCCACACGAAAGGCCCAGAAGTGCTTCCCTTTGGCAATCCCAGTGTCACCAATGATGTAATCCAGGGTTGTGTAACATCCAACCTGCAGGCGCTCAGATCCCAGCAGTAAAGGAAATCCAGCCCTACTTTCCACAGAGGTTCTTCTTGGGTTCAGCTGGAGATGTTCATTGTTGTACCCACATTTGTCATCAAAAAGAAAACTGAAAACTGAAAAACAGTATCCCAAAAAAATTCTGCTTAGTTAACTATTTGGCCTTCTGTGCTTATAAACTACATTATGAGTCACACTGGCATTAGAATTTCTCACTTCTAAACGCTACCAGGAATGTCATGCAAGCAACCAGTCTCTGTATGTTACCTACTTAACTTTTAATAGTGCTTCTAAACATTTATGCAACTGGTAACCATGTAGTGGACATCTGGGAGCTACTGGAAAGTACTTACAGCTCTTAACACTGACAGACACAGAATCACCACATAAGAAAACCCAATACCTGGAGCTGGAGGTGTACGCAAAATAACTTCTCGGCTCCAAGGGCTACAGATGGACCCTTTATATCCTCGAACTCTAAAGGCATAGCTGCTGTCATCATCTAGATCAGACACTACTTTGCTCTTGCCACAAACTTCAGTCTTCTGCCATGTCACATTCTCCTCTTCTCTATTTAGCTTATGATACTCAAGAACATAGATGTCAGCTGAGTCTGTCTTCCCAGGGCATTCCCAACTGATCAGAGCTTGGTTGTACATTCTGCTCTGCTCTTCATTGATTTCTGGTATTTCTAGACCTGAAATAAATGAGAAAAAACCACTCAAATTTAGATATACTTTGTTTTAGAATTAACCATCCAACCCATTTGTTGAGTGGCTATAGCCCTGTGTAAGGAGTGAATCTGACTCACTCAGTTAAAGAGAGCAGATGAGGGTGGTTTTCTGTTCATGCACTTAAGTAAATCTCTTAATTTTTGTTTCTACTTTGAAAAGCTCAAGCCTTTATTTCTGGCAGCCAAAAAATAAATGTATTAAAACCTATTATTTTCTGCCATGCAGTAAGAAGCTTCTAGGAAGACCGAGTATGATGTAACTACAATATTTTGGAAGCAAGTGTAAACTGGTACTGAATCCAACGGCATCTTAGCTTCCTTATGAAAGCTGAAGATAACACTGCTGCCAGGTAATGTTTTCAGGATTACAGACACAGAAGGGACAATGCAAGTCACATCACAAGACTGAGCTCTGCAACTGCTGCCCTGTGTAAGTTTTGCCTTTCCCCAGAGAAGCCCTTAAAGCCATAACTTGAGAAAGACTTGATGCCCTCAGAATTTACCATTGGAATGGAAGGACAAGTCACCAAGGATGTCTTCTTGCTTAGCAATGTCCACCACAAAGTCTTCAAAAGTAGTTTCAGCTGCTGGCCTAAAGGTCTTCAGAGATTCAGTAGCTTTTTGGATTCTGAAAACAGAAGCAGCAGAATAGCAGAAGAGAGAAAAGGGAATTCAAGTAGGCATTCCTTAAAGTAAAAATGCTAGTTTGTGCTTAAAAAAAAGTTCCACTTTCATGTACTTACTGATGTCTCCCAGAAATTTTTGTCTCTCTAGACCGAATTCAAATGCAAAATTTAAAGGCCTTTTGTACATCAGTGTAAGCATAATGCACAGGTAATTGTTCAGGTGGGAAAGCATTTAAACAATTTGGAGCATTATGTTCAAAGAACAACATAGATGTGAAGGGTTAGTAGAGAACATAAATATCAAAGAGCTTAAAGCCAGAAGAAACCTGCTAGATTAACTTGCAAGTATCCGATACAATCTCTGAGCAAAGGAATTTGTCAGGGAGCCGAACAGACTACCCTTCCACTGCAATCCCACTGAACAGGGCTAGGCACTGTTGCATGACAGAGTTCTTACTCTCCTGTGTGTTGTTTCCTAATGCACACTCTACTGTAGCAATTTCGACTGAACAGTACCAGGACCATTTCCTGAGCCTCTGAAGTGTAAGGTACTGTGTTCAGTACTTTGCTAGCAGGTGCCAAAAGAACACAACCACATGGAAGTCCTGGAACAGTACCTGTATCTCAAACACAATATATTTTAAGATACCTGACATGAAGTTGTTTTGCTGTTTGAACAAAACAAGAGGGATCAGTTTCTTTAAGCACTTCTTGAGCATATCCTACAAGGCCATTATTTTCCAGGAGCCCTTGATATTCTTCCACCTGCGTTTGCAATTTTTCCAGCCTTATATTCTTAGAAGTTTCAATTGCCCTAAGAGCTGCAGATTTCTTCTCTTCCAGAACATGATATAATTTCTCAAAGCTCTGAGATGCTTCTTGTTTAGCTCTTTCACTGTTGCACTAGGAGCAAACAAAAGACATTTTAGACAGATTCCACAGCACTGTGGCTCTGTACAGAAACATATTTAAGTTTGTTCAAGATATCATAGTGACCTAATCATCCATTTCACAGACAACACTAATGAGCTTTGTTATGCTCTTTAGCACTGAAAATGAGATCAGCACTGCACCCAAGCTAGTCAGCGTTTACTGTCTTAACACAGAGGATGAAGAGCAGGAAGGTATTCCTCTGATTATATCTTGAGTTCTACATTACATTTGTCAAAGTAGCTCATGAAAAAGCACTTAAAAACAGGTCAGTCTCTGAAATCCTCATGCACAAGAGCTATGTGCTCTTCCACCTTCCCCAATAACTCTGAACCGAGGATCCAGCCGAGTTTCTCATGTATACCCTCTGAACTGTAATGTCCTTTCTGACTACTGCCCTCAATAAAAGGAACTGCAAAGCACAGAGGCAATCTGTAATCAAGATACACAGGAGCTCCTCCAACTTCTCTTCTGTGTTTTTCAGCTTGTGTGTGAGGTTCCAGCTGTGACTCTTCTGCAGGGAGATTTTGCCCTTAATTCTGACCTCCTCAAGGCAAACAGGCAGTCTAAATGGTGCAGCACCGTTAATACACAAATGCCATTAGTCCAACGCACCTGCCTTTGGTTAAGGTATCAATTAAGCTTTGTTTTATTTAAATTTACAGAGGCACACAAAAATTACCTTTCCTCTGTATGCTTCCCTATTTCCCACACTGACAGGGTTAGGTCTCACCTCACTGTTAACACAATTTGTTCAGAAACTGCTTTACTACTTAACTGAAAAAAACCAAAGTTTGCAACACTTCACTGAAAACAGTTTTGAGTCCTTGCTGTGTCTCTAAGGGGCATCTCCAGACAACCTGCAAGCCACTCTTACCTCTGTTTCTTTCAGCAGCAGATCCAGCTGTGTGATGTGAGCTTTCACCTGGCTTTCCTTACTGATGAGGTACTCGATATCTTTTGAAAGCTTCTCCTGTTGAAATAAAACAGTAAGATGGCAGAATAAGGGTATCCACCACAAAGTGACAACCAGCACAGGCAGGTCATCAAGCTAGTGCTCAGTTTACATGGCCACAAGGACAACAGCCTACAACCAGTTATGAGCAGCAACCCTGTGGAGAATTGCTTGGTGACCTGAGGTGACTGCACAGGGACAGCAGGACTGGGGACACAGCCTTGAAGGACAAGAGGTAACAGTGTCAGCAGGCTTATTCCTCTCCAGCCACCCAGGAGTCACCCTCTCTTAGGTTAGGAACACGAGGCTTCAGGACATTAATAAAACTTATAGAAAAGAGTTGTTAGTTATTAACTCATTTGTAGTGAAATATGCTAGAAAAATGAGTGGATCAAATGACAGTATTATGAGGGTGTCTGTACTTCCTTAGCTGCAAGAGTTAGCAGTTGTACAGGAAAAGCCTTGCAAACTGCTGAGGAGGCCAAAGAGCAGGCTAGTCTGTTTTGTTTTTTTTTTCTCTCCTGTGAGCAAGGGAGGAAGAAAAGGAAAAGGAGGAAATAGGAGCAATCATCACTTATTAACAAAGCAATGTTTGCAAGTTTTCCCTGTTGTGCTTTGTTTAGGAAATTAACAGCTATGCAACTTCAGAAACATTCAAGGTCCCAACAGATACTTCTGATGCAAACTTTTCAGAAGTGCTTCTGAAATATCGGCTACCCCAAGCTACCAGAATATTTATATTAAAAAAAATTGACTGCAAAGTATTAACTGCTTAAACTTTTTGCATTGTATGTACTGCTGTACAGTTGGCTAAAATTAGGTGAAAGCACTTGTAAGGGTTTATGTTTCAAGCCTCACAGAAAACACAGTGTAGTTTCTAAGACATGAACTACGTTACACTAATATGTACATTAACCAATGTTGCACAAGAGCACACCTCAAGAGTAGTTCAGGGTCTCCTAAACACATGTCCTGGCTTCCAGCCAGAGGGAGTTTGCCCTTACACCAGAAGCTCAATACTCTTCCTCGTCTTAAAGCCAGGTCCAATGATATTTACTTTTACCTTAAGGGTTTTGTAGGCAGTGCTCATGGTTGTTACTCTATGGTTTGCATGACATCCACCCAGTTTACAGAGATGACAAACAGGCCTTCTGCAGATTTCACAGTACATGTTTACCCTCTCCATTTCATGTTCTGGACACATCAAAATCTGTGGGGGGGGGGAAAAAGCAGAAAGAATACAGATTTACTTTATAAAACCGAGGTCCTCAACAAACTATCAAAGCAATTAACCCAAAGCAGCCTGAGATTTCATCAGTGGATTTTCTTTATAGTCAGTTTATCTTCCACATATTATATTTGTCAATGTCACATAGTTTCACAAGGTTTATGTCTAACACTGTCTGTGCACCAACATGCCATGTAGCCTCCATACTGCAACCAACCCTTTTGCTAATCCCTGCCCAAGTTGTTTGCATGCCTCCAGCTCCCTACACTCCTGATCAGAGATGTAAATGCAATGTATAACATACCCAGCCTGTCAAACAAATAAACAAACAAAAACCCAAACAAAACAAAACAACCCAAAACAAAACAAACCAACCAAACAAAAAACCCCCAAAACAAAACAAAACCACAAACAAACAAACAAACAAAACCAAAAACAAAAACAAACAAAACAAACAAACAAAAAAAAACAACGAAAAAAGTTCATGCCAGCCTCTCTTGAAACAGCTATGAACTGTTTCTTAAAGCAAGAGCTGACATAATACTGCAACAATTTATATGATAAACCACATAGTCACAGGTCTTGGAGCAACAAAGTAAACCATCACCACCAGCCACAATTATTTTAAAGACAAAAGGCTCCAGTGTTTCAATCTTTCTGTCTGACTCCAACTACAAGTTGTTCACACTGATGCTAATTCCAGGATCAGCTTAAACAGCATTGCAAAAAAACTGGTGTTCGCTAAAAATCATCTTTCCAAAACTGAACACATTGAAATAATTGCTCAAAGAGAAAAAAATGTGCCACTCAACTCCAAGTTCAAGCAACAGATAAAAACATATAAAAGGGGTGTGTATGTGTATTGGTTTAAAAAAAGAATAGCTTTTGAGAAGTTTTTCAGTTTCAAGATGCCCATACACAGAAAGGACAGGAAAGGGCACAAAAATAGAAAACTGTGAGTAGCACAAATATAGACAAAACAAGCTAAACTGCAGACCGTCTCTGAAATCAACTTTCAAACCTCAAATGTTATCTTAGGGTATGGTGAAAAGCCCAAAGACACCAGTCTCACTAGTGCCTTGGTACATTGAGACTATCATTAAGCCAAATATGCAATAAGCAATCCCGTTTTCATTGACTACTGGATTTGGAAGGAAAAAGAAAAAAGGGAAAAAAAAAAAAACTGCCAGGAAAATCAATTGTGCAGGCAGACATCTCCAAAAACTACATTCAGTTAGTCTGTGGAAGTTATTTTTCCACAGCAGCGTATAACCACACCTAACAGAAAACATGTATTTTTATTCATCTCCTCAAATAAGCAAGAATTACAGCCTGAGAGCTAGAGACAGCAGAGGTCAGCAGACTACCTTGTCTAGTTCTCTCAAAACTCAAGAACAATCAGCCCAGTATGTTCTTCTCCCATCCACACCACACACACTACAAAGTGCTCTCCAGTCTGCTGGTAAATTAAAGTGACAACTGTCAACATTGTTTAGGAAACCAACAACTATGCTTTCAAGTCAGGTCTTCAGAATGCAGGGCAATGAAAAATGCACTTTTCTTTCTTTACATAAAACTCAATCATTCCTTAAAGAAGTCTCTATAGGAGCAAAGTAAAGATCAGTTTACTGATGTTGGGAAGCTTTTCCACAAAGTAGACCTATCTATAGTTGATTTACCTATACTATGTTTTTCTTCTTTCTTTCCCCCTGTTCTTCACGTATAATTAAAAGAGCTAAACCTCACATGCACAGACATAGTCAATACGTCCATGTCAGAACAATCTAAACCACTTCTTCCCCCTTTGCTCTGCTTTAACAAAATTCAGCTACTGATTTTCAATCCCACATTCAGTCTGCATGTAGTACAAGATCATCTGGTACCTTTAAGAATACCTAAGGATCACAAGATGCCTCTGGCATTTTCAAGTAGCAATGTTACAGCTGTGAAGGTTTAGATACCATAGAAGCAAAGATTTTAAGGAGCTGTACAGCATTTTAAAGCAAGAGCTTTAAAATGGAAACTTTCACCTTTCTCATTTATCCCATAAAGGGACATTTCATACAATGTATGTGCTAGCACATTTGAAAGCATATGAAGGTCCAGTCTCAGAAGGAAAGTACACTACTAAGTCAAGACCTTATTACACACCACACATTAATCGAATTTACTTAATTTAATCAAAATTAATCAGGACTCCTTGACCATCAGCATTTCTGTTATCTGTGGGACCTCCAGCAAGGTCACCAGCCAGAGGCACAAAGCATGTGCTGGGACATTAAGACCTATTGTGGTCCTTTGTTAGAGAGATGGCATCTGTGACAGTTTCTCCTGTTGTGCAACTTGAATTCAATAAGGCACTGCCATGTACTGCACTACACTTAGAAGGAGAAGCAAATGTAACAGCACTTTGCAATCACTCTGCTTTGAATGCAGCAACAGCAGCAGCAGTGTGTAAACTATAAAATTTGCCATTACATTTTTCTCTTCTAGATGCTAGGAAGGAGAGAAAGAAGATACTTCGAGATGGATCAGGCACAAAGCATCCAAGGGGAATGTGTCTTAAGGGGGTATGGAGGAAGCCAGGTGTTTTGTTTTTTTAAGTTTACCACACATCCTCCCTATGGCAGTGCCATTTTAGATGCTCTTCTGCAACCCAAATTCTGTAAGATATGGTATACTTACCTTGGGTCTGAAGTTGGTGGTTGGTCCTACATATTCATGCTGGGCTTTCAGAGTTCCCCAAGGATGGTGTATTTTGAAACATTCATTGCAATAGCTTGCACTGCAGTCCATGCAGCTCTTTGTAGACTCCTGAGGTGGAGGTTTGCAGAAATCACACATAATAGCAATGGCTGCCCTGGCTGCCTGTCTGTATCTTTCCACAATGGTTTCCAAAGTAAAGTTGCGAAATAAGCCATTGATGCCACGTTCTCCGAGGTCAATATCCCGCTGGCAACCCGGACAAGGAAACAGAGTTGATCTAGGAGTCAGTGAATTGCGTTTTCTGCCTGTGTAGACACCAAATTCCAATTTAAAAGCAGCATAAACAGAACTGGTTTAGATTTTAGAAGACATACGGGTATGAACCAAACTACTGTAACACATTGTCCAAACTAGTACAACACCAATTCATATGCAGTCTGCCAAGCCAAAGAGAATACAATTACCATGACAAGGTAGTTTAATGTCTGACTCCAAGGGACATTACTCCTTGAAAATGTAATACTATGTTAAAATAAATTTAGCTGTTCCAATCCTATCTTCTTCATCTAGTTTTGGATGCACTTAAGTTGTAGTGTTTTGAAACACTAAATACAAAACATTGTGGAAGCCAGTTGGTTTTTAGGCTGACTGCCCATATAGAGAGCAACAGCTTTGTAGCATATTGAAGTGAAAGACATTTATTCCCAGAGCAAAACTACTTATTCCCAGAAAAAATATAGTCAACTTTGAGCTCCCTGAAGTTTGCTTTGGCTTAGTTAAATTTATCTTGCTCATCCCAAAAGACATCATAAAAAAAGGGGAACAAGAGAACAGTATGACATGTCAGCCAAATCATTTTGTCAAAAAATACAGAGGCTGACTTGATGCTTGTTAAAAGGCCTTGATAAAGGACGGCTGCTAAATAAGCCCAGCACACCACAGAGGATCCTCAGGTATTTATGTCTGAGAGATTCCTCTACCCTGAACTGAGAAACCACAGATCTCCACTGTTACACAGGGTACATCCATTTTTATTCATTTCAAAAGGAAAAGATGCCAAGCAGATGCACTCCTACCAAACAGCTACACCCGAATTTCTTCTCTCTCCAAAATAAAATCACAGGTTCAAGAAAAGCCACAGACCTAAGGAGCCTTTGGAGTCTGTCAGGGGGATGGCTCACACAGACTCAAAGGCTATTTACAAGGTAATGTTGTTGAGTTTATCAGACAGGGAAGTGCATCCCATGTCTCACTCATGAATGCCCAGGACGCAACTATCAGAAGGAATCCTTTATGTAATTTAGGAGCAGGCTAAGCCAGTCTTTAGGCTTAACTTGTATTCTTCCAGCTTCTCCATACAAAGAAACAAAAAAACTCCATCTTCTGTAGCTGGTACATTCTTTTAAGACCCCTTTGAGAGCACTGCATATTGGTATAACTAACTGTTCTGGTTTCAGCTGGGTTAGAGACAACTTTCTTCTTAGTAGATGGTACAGAGCTGTGTTTCAAATTCAGTATGACAATAATGTTGCGAACACACTGATATTTCAGCTGTTGCTAAGTAGAGTTTGCCCTAAATCAAGAAATTTTTATTTTATCATGCTCTACCAGTGAGCACAAGAAGCCATGAGGGAAAACAGCCAGGACAGCTGACCCAAACTGGCCAAAAGGATATTCCGTACCATAGAACGTCGTGTCCAGTATATAGACTAGGGGGATTCAGCCAGGAGTGGTGGATTGCTGCTCTGAAACACGCTGGGCACCTGACAGTGGATGAACAATTGCATTGTGCATCACTTGCTTCTCTTGGGTTTTATTGCTCTCTCTCATAATTAATTTTTTTTATTATTGTTGTACTCCAGTTATAATTAACTCTATTCCAACCGAAACCAGGACGATAACAAATTTGTAAATGGAGGTATGACTTTAAGGTGAATTCTTAGTGTTGAAACTGGTTCTTCTTCTGAAAGGGAAATTTGTTCTCCACTGTATTTAGTCAGTATTTTCTCATTAGAAATGCTGATGCTTTATTTCTTTCTGAAGTGTCCTTTGATGTTACCCAAGACACCTGCCTTGTGCTGTTCTCCTGCTGGTGTTTCACCTAACAATTCAAAACCTCCATTCCTATCATGCCCTTTCTAGTCTCTTCAAGAAAACACCAAACCAACACTCCCATAAGGAATTAGTTCCTTTAAGTATCTTTGAAGTTTGACCCATGGTAGTTATACATGATTGTCAGCTAAGAAGCCACAACCAGAGCATAAGTAAGTGTGTACTGACTGACAGTCTCAAACTCAGCTGGTCTCGTGCCTTTCTGCAGGTTCTGAGTAGAACAACTAGACTGCATTACGTAACAAGGATGGGTAACACGAGGCACAGGTGTATAACTGTCTTGCTAAGGGAAGCTGAGATTTTTTTCCTAATTTTATTTTTTCTTCAGTACTTACTTGAAGTGAATTAATTACCCAAACTGCACATCCTTCAGTACCTGTAACTTGGCATACACAGCAACACAGGCATGCAAGGTACAGTAACAGCAGTGAAACACAGACTGTATTTCCAATGTATGCTCCAAGCTAGCAGTGCACACAGGAACACAGAGAGAGATCTTCTACACAGACTTCTACAATGGTCTAAACAAAAAGATGACTTTGCATGCAGTGTCATGCAGAGAACAGCTACAAAAAAGGATCTGAAACTTTTGCTGAAACTAAGAAAATCATACATTGTGGTGGTACATATGCTATAGCAGAGAGCAAACAATGACTAAGCAAGACAATAAGAAAAAAAAACAAACACAGTGCAGTGGTCAAGTTTAAAAATACAATCTGAAATTCATATTCATCCCTATGGAGACCTTTTTTTCTGCCCATGGTGGACCAAAATGAGACTGTCATCATGAGCCATGCTCTGCAAAGACTGGTGACACTGCTTATGGAAAGCAATCCAGTATCAGGGAAGTCCCATGCACGTGTAGATGTCTCATCCCTTTTCATTGATAGCACTCTGAGGGTCTAAGTTGAGGGTTTTTTTCTGTTTTAAATCCCCAAAGTTTACTTGCTAAGCTCCTTGGAGTGCTCTGGCACTTTAATACTCAAAAGAAAGGAAACATTCTCTTTCTGCCTAACAAGTCTTAAAACATTATTATGCCGTAAGAATTAGTCTGCTTTCTGTTTAAAGGGTTTCTACACTCGTATTTTAAAAAAAAAAGCACTGATTAAGTAATTACTTTGAGCACTATCTTTCCTATCTGTCTTGTGTCCAATTTGCTAAAACGAAATTTTACTTATACACAAAAAAAACCCCAAATAAACAAAAAACCACATGGAACAGAGCAGCACAACCCCTGGATCTTGTAGACATGTCAGATATGAGCTCAGTGAAACTTAGGTCCTCCCCATATTCTCTTTTACACTTTGCCAATCAGGTTGCAACAAAAAAATATGTATTTTGAGACGTATTTTTGTAAAATATTAGGAATCATCACAAGAAATTTTCCACTGTGGTTTGTAAACAGATTGCTCCACTTGCAGTAAATTGCTCGATCTGTAACCAAAAAAAATCACAACATATGCTCATGCTTAGATTGCAAACTCACAAATATTACCATACAGATTGCAAAGACCAAAGACTCAAGTCAAAGAGCAATCTTAAGTATGTCTTTTAAAGGCAATGTTCAAATGTCCTCTTCCCAAGGAATTGAAAAGTCCAAGCTGCAGTGAATGGTTAGCAAAGGGATAAGACATCTTAAAGATAAAACTGTGTTTTCCAAGTAAACAGTATTACCAGAATTCTATGGTTGTGGAAGACATGGACATTAAATGTGTGAAAGTTTAAAAAAAAATAAGATTTTAAAAGTCAACTGGATTCTCTTAAAAGGTTGGGGGTTTTATAATATAACTGTATATTACCGCCCCCCCCCCCCAAGTCAGTTAATGCTTTTGGATGAACTTTGAGGAACAGAAAAAAAAACAACAAACCATGAGAGAAGTCAGTAGCTCTAAACTGTTACTTTCAGATACCTTAATTTTTCACAAAACAAGGGTGCTTTCCGCAGAAAGAGCAGATAAGGATAGCTTTCCAAGAGCTCTGATGGTATCATATGGTATCTTTGTTTTACGACACTTTCAGCCTTCAATTGAGGCACTTTAAACTTCCTCTTGTGATTAGCTGCTTTGTCCTTCACTGAGAGTGAAGTTCAGATTTGTGTTTAGCTCACATCTTTCTTGTAGGATAACATATTCCTATGGATTGCTCATGTGCCTGTGAATACTGTTGCAATATGGAGTTGAGGGATTTTTTTCCTGTTTTTGACAGAGCATCACATTAAAAAAAAACCCCAGTATTAATGTTAACAAGTCCACACAGTGGCTGAGTTACGCAGATGAGCTGACTTTTGGAAGTGAGATGTACTCAAAACACTGGCTATCCTTCAACCTAACTGTTTCATTCATTAAGCACACCAAACATTACAAGTCTGGAAGTTTAAAATGTTTAGCTTCCCTTGTATATTCATGTGCTTTGCAAAATTTTCAGATCCAGAACTAGCTACTCATATTAACATGGTGTAAATTTCAGTCTGCTTCTTTACCAAATTGAGCAGGTTCAAATACAATGGAGAACCAGTAATACCTTCCATTTAAAAGTGATGGCCAAACATGACCTTTAAAGGTTGGGAAGATCCGTCTAATAATTACACTTCACTACCAGTAAGACAGCAGTTTCACTAAAACTTGAGCACGTAAACTCATGAAAATTAAAAAGTAGGGGGGTGGGGGAGGTGGTGTGGTGGCTACTGGGGTTTTGTGTGCATTTCTGCACCCATCAATGTATATTCAGTCACATACAAACACAAGGAAAAAATATAACGCAACTCTTAACTGAATTCCAGTCCAGTTGACCTTTAAATCAATGTTACACAGAATGAAAAGCTGTCCTTATAGAACTTCTTTGCTGTACCTTTGCTCACTGAAAAAGCTTTTTTTGTGGACTTGACCACTGACAAAAAGCTATATGCTAACCAACAATATTTAACTCGAAATCTAAATGCTAGACTATCTGTAGCCAACACAAGAAGTGAAGCAATTCTACCTCTCCACCCAAAAGACCTCCTCTGTGAGGCTGCAAACAATGAACAGAGAGCTGTTTAGACACCAAAAAACAAGATATACCATTGGTTTACAATGGTTCAAACGAAAAGCATCAACTGTTTTCTCTCCTGTGGCTGTTAAACTTCTGCAGGGCTGAAAGGCAAGAATGTTTAGTTTCCTAGCACATGAAACAACTCTAGTATTTAAGCAAAACAGAAAAAGGGAGAAAGAAGAGATTGGGGGGGAGGGGCACAGGGAGAGATATTTCAAACATTCAGTTTCTGCATTACCCATCAGTGCTGCACAAGCGTCAACATAAACATATTACATGTTTTAATTACATTAACATTGTAATTACAGTAACATTACAGAAAATGAATTAGCAATAAGAAATATCCTTCATTTTACATGCAACTTGATTTTTTACATTAAAAAGTATTTTAAATATAATATAAACAGGAGTGTTTTTAAACCAATACACTGGATTTTAAGCAGCACACGCACTCCATGTGAAAAATACAGTTCTACCAGTTCCATCCTTTTTACATTAAGATAAACTATATTTGTAAATGCAAGCTGTGTGTGCACAACAAGTACAGAACATGAACCATTCCTTCTAGAATTTCAAGAATTTAAATGCCAAATCCATTTAAAAAATAGAGTATATTCCTTACGGAGACAACAGGGATTCCCTAAGTGGAAAAAAAAAACAAAAAAGAAAAAACACACAGTGGGGAGAAAATGTCATATCCATTTTCAAATGTGACACTGATGTCCTGACAGTGATATGCTCTGCAAAAGCCTACCAGAAGTTATACATGTGAGAACATACTTTGGATGTTTTCTAGAACATTTTCTCAACTATGGAGGTATTCTATTACAAATTCCCCTATGGATCACAAAACAAATTAAGCAAGGCAATGCACATTATGAGTACCTCAGGTGCAAGATGACAAACATGCAGATGTAAATTGCAAGTTGGTTCACCATTACTGGTACCAATCTGGTTTGAGAGCAAATCCCACACCCCATACAGCAATGAAGCTATAATGCCTGTAACATTAGAAGTGAAGATACTATAACTTGAATTTACAAATGTATTCTTTAAAGCTCCCATTTCCATATGCTTTTCATTTTGCAAATTTGAACTGCTTGAGATGATAATTTTCCTGTGATGTGCATCTGCCCAACGCTCTTTGGGGGCAAGTCCATTATGTCCAAGTCTCAACCCTCTCTTGCTACTCATCCAACAACTCTTCTGGAAAGCAATCACCCCTCTAGTAGCAGGTCAGATGAGGAGATATCTTCCCGTCAGTTTGCTGGGACGGTGGCAGACTACTGCGAATTTAAAGATTACAACTCCTGCAACAACTTGTGTGCATATATCTCAGGGCAGTCTGAAAGTGGCGGGGGGGAATACCAAGAACTGGCTTTTTGCTTATCAAACTGATTTGAAGGAGTACCGGTACTAACAACTCATTAATTGTTTAAAAGAAGCGGGTGAAATTGCACATTTGAACTGTGAATACTGGGGAGGATGAACTTTAGTGTGGCCGGAGTAGAGAGATTTCTCTGGACAAATTTTCCTGCATTTTGTAGGCCTTGCTTGACATGACTGTAGAAGTTGTAAGAGGTGTAATGTTTATACTTATAAGCTGTGTGAAAATATGCAATGTTTATACTTGTTAGCTGTGTGTTTATAATTATAAGGTATGTGAAAATAGTATGTTTATAGTAAGAAAGCCTTGAGAAATTGGAGATAATGAGACACCTGCAGATCTCAGGAAAACCCCTAAGGGCAGATCAATAGAAGGGACTTTGCATGCCAAGTATGATTTCAGGCCGTGTGGACAGAGCACCAGGTCCAATAAACTGAAAGCATGAGACGCGTGCACAGACTGAGCTATCCAATCACCTTGTTGTAAGCATGTACCCAGAACAAACTAAACTGTATAAAAGTTAACTCATTTCAATAATAAATTGGACATTTTGCCAATCAAATTGGTCTCTGAGTAATCTGTCCGTGCCTCTCCGCTGATACTTTAGTAGCAGGAAATGCAAGACAGAGCTTTAGAGTTTGCCTTGTTGGTGACTCTTCCAAAGCACCAGGGAGTGTGGTTTTAAATGGATAATTATGTCGGAAGAAAGCCTAAAAGCCAAGATGAGGTTTCTTTCAAGAAGTACAGCATGCACAAAGCACTTTCAATGTGTCTCTGTAAAAAAAGATCAACTCATCTGTGAATTACACGGACAGCTCTAAGAATCTTTCTAATATGATACCATGAAGAGCATGAGGAGTCCTATAGCTAAGTGCTCTTTAAAGCTTTGAGCAGACCACACTGAAAGAGATCTGTCCTCCAAATCTGCAACTGTGCAGTAATCATAATCAATGGGAATTTATTTACTGTAAGCATAATGAAGTGGGCAGGTGTGGTAGTTTGGTCTAGGCCTTCCTTGGTGACCACTTTGTACCCAAGGAAGGGCCCAGATTTACCCAGTATTCCCTACGATTTTTACGTAAGCCAGGCTATAAGAAGAAAGGAGGAGAGGCCTTCGCTCTCTTTCCTTCCGGCGGCTTGGAGGTGCAGGTTCCCTGCTGTTGAGTCTGTCGTGTTGGGGAGCGAGGCCTGGTAAAGCCTTGTCGATCATGGGAGACGGAGGTTGCTGGCGATCGTTCCAGAGCGACTCTTCGTTGTCCCAAGGAGAGTAGTAAGATAGTTTTTTAGCCAATTCTTTTAGTTGCTAGATATTGGGCTACTAATCGGGATGTATATATTTTTTATTTTGGTTTTGTTCCTTTTCCCTTCCCCCTTCCCTTTCCCTTGTGAAATTATATATATATATTTCAATTGTATATAACTGTAACGTAAGTGTAAATATATTTATATATATTGCTTTAGTTGTCTCTCTCTCATTTTGGTTTTCTTGGTTGTTATTTCCCTCTTCTCCCTGAGGTTTGGGGGGAAGGGGGACTTCTTGTGGTAAGGTTTGGAGACTTGGCAGGGAGCCAGCTTCAAACCATATCAGCAGGACAAAACTATAACTTGCAAAGTCTCTCTACAAGCTCAGAAGGAAGTCAGAACTACTGCACTGAGGCTGGCTGAAACACAAGAGAACTACCTCAACCGTGCTACTGACAGGCAATAAAATCGCTGAAATCTACATCTCCACGCTACTGAACATGATGCTATTGCATTTCGGTGTAACTGAATTACAGAAAAAAACAAACACAATGGTTATAAAGATTTACAGGATGCCACAAAGACAAATCTATATGAAACAGAGCGCATTGTCCTTAAAAATATTCCCATTGTTATTGACACAAAATGAACAAGACTTGCACTATCCCTAAGTCATCTCTCTAACCGCAGCAGGAGTAATGGGAAGCCATTTTACCAATGCAGATACCAGTCATCTTAAGCCAGTATACTAATAAAATTAGGAAAACATGCACAAATTCTTACATACCTGATCTACTAATCCTGTCAATTCTGTCCATGCTAGAAGCAGAGATTCTGATTCGAGGGCTACTCTGATTAGAGGATTCAGAGCCTCCATCAGCAAAAGAGTCTTCAAATGCAAAAAGTATTTCTTTCACACATTTGTGACAGACATTGTGCTGGCATGGAAGGATCAGTGGATGGGTAAACAACTCCTTGCATGCTGGGCAGATAAGCTCTCTTTCGATACCCTTAATGGCAACCTTCATGATAGAAAGAGGGAGAAACAAGTGTAAGCGCAGGAAAACACGAGCCATTAAGATTTATGGCACTGCTCTGTCACCAAAATTCCATCTTTGTAGAATAAATCCACACAGTGTTATCTGGTTTGAGGCACTTCTCTGGCTAAAACTGCAAACAAATCTCAATTAACATTTATGAAAGCACTGACAGTGTTCATTTCAACTGAAGTGAGCACTGCCACTAGGCAAACTCAGTTCATCTTTAGGTCATGTCTGCATTGCAGGGGAGGAAAGGAGGGGAGTAGTCTTAATTCCACTCAAGGACCTAGTGGAATGAGTGCAACCATACTTCTTAACAATAGGAGTCCATATGTTTAGCTTGCTTGCTCGCTTTTCAGGAAGGGAGGGGGAAAAAAATGATACTAAGTGTCAGATACTCAGTACTGGTTAAACAACAGGCTTTCCTCACGCGTAATTCACAATTAAGAGCTGAAACTATTAGGACTATAGTTCTGAGTGCGGAACATCATTTATTTATTTGTTTCTGCGTTTATTTACGTCCTTATCTGCCGCACAAAGATCCGCCCGTGGATCGGTGCAGCTCTTCAGTAATTCCGTGGCCCCCACGGTTCCCCTTGGCCCCGCGCCCCGCTAAGCATCAGGTGTCGGCGGGCGCAGGCACCGCCAGCCCAGTCCAGCGCCGCTCCCCGCGCCAGGGCCGCCGCCGCTCCGCCCGGGCTCCCTGCGGGACCGCTTCCCCCGGGAGCGCTTCCCCTGGGAGCGCTTCCCCCGCGCCCCGTCGGAAGGGCTCCGAGCGAGCCCTGCGCGCCGTCCCAGCTCCGCGGGGCTGCCGCCGGCGCCGCTCCCAGCTGGGCGGGCACGAAGCTGTCGGCGCACACCCATGAGGACGGACAGACGGACAGACGGACAGACAGACAGACAACCTCCAGCCCCCCGCACCTCAAGCGGAGGGACGACGCACCCCGCCCCGGCGGCCGCGCTCCGCCGGTTCCCCCCGAGCTCACCGCGCTCTCCGGCCGATCGCCCTCCATTCCGGTGCCTCCTCCTCCGCCGGCTCCGGCGGGCTCCGTCAGCCCGGGCGGGGGGCCGGGACGCGGACGGGGAGCGCCCACGGCGGCGCCCGGCGCAAAATGGCGAGCGAGGAGCGGGCGCGGCTCGGGCGCGGGGCAGCGCGGGCGGGGCGGGGCGGGGTAGCCGCGCCCGCGGCAGCCGCCGCAGAGCGGAGCTGTCCAGCCGCTCCCGTCGCTCCGGTCCCCGCGGGAGCCGCCGATTTCGTGGCTATTGTTTTGGTTCTTGTCTTTCGCCGAGCGGCACCGGAAATGCCGGCGGTCCCGGCGGCCAGGAGTATCGAGTGCTCTCCCGCTCAGCCCCTGCCATTGATAGCCTCCCTTGGTGCCCATGTCAAGGAATCAATGAATCGTAGAACGCTTTCGGTTGCAAGGGACCTTAAAGAGCACAGAATCAATTAGTTTGGAAAAGACCTCTGAGATCATCGACTCCAACCTATGAGTGAACACTGTGTCAGCCAGAACATGGCACAAAGTGACATATCTAGTCTTTTATTAAGCATCTCCAGGGACAGTGACTCCGCCATCTCCCTGGGCACCCCATTCCAATGTCTAATCACCCCTTCTGTGAAGAAATTCTTCCTAATGTCCAACCTAATCCTTCCTTGGTACAGCTTAAGACCGTGTCCTCTCGTCCTGATCATCTCACTCCAACCCTCCGCTATGGGCGGGGACAACTTCCACTAGACCAGATTGCTCAGCCCCCCATTCAACCTGGCCTTGAACACTTCCAGGGAGGGGGCATCTACAGCTTCTCTGCACAACCTATGCCAGTGCCTCACCACCCTCATACTGAAGAATTTCTTCCTAGTATCAAATCTAAACCTGTTATCTTTAAGTTTGAAGTCATTCCCCTTTTTACACTCTCTGCCCACTTAAAAACTCACTCTCCCTCTTTTTCATAAGCTGCCTAAGTACTGAAAGGCCACAGTGAGGTTACCACTGAGCCTTCTCTTTTCTGTCCTGTGCAGTCCCAGCTCTCTCAGCCTGTCTTCACAGGAGAGGTGCTCCAGCCCCCTCATCATTTTTGTGACCTTCCTTTGGACTTCTTCCAGCAGGTCCATGTCTTCTTGTGCTGAGGACCCCAGAGCTGGACACAGTACTCCATATGGGGTCTCATTAAAGCAGAGCAGTGGGGAATAATCAGCTCCCTCACCCTGCTGTTTTGATCCAGCCCAGGATAATTGGCTTTCTGGGCTGTCAGCACACACCATGTTGGCTCATGTCCAACTTTTCATTCACAAAAATTTTTCCACGGGGCTGCTCTCAGTGACTTCTTTTCCCTGTTTGCACTTGGACTTGTTGAACTTCATGAGATTCTCCTGGGCCCATTTATCCAGTTTGTCCAGGTCCCCATGGATGGCATCCCTTCCTTCTTTTGTGTCAACTGCGTGACTCAGCTTTGTGTCATCTGCAAACTTGCTGAGACTGTGCTCGATCTCGCTGTCTGTGTCACTGATAAAGATACTGAAGAGCACTGACCCCAAGACAGAGCCCTGAGGGACACCACTTTTCACTGGCCCCCACCTGGACATAGAGCCATTGACCACAACTCTCTGGCTGCATCCATCCAGCCAATTCCTTATCCGCCAAATAGTCCGCTGCCCAGGCTGCCTCATATCTTAACCTTTTTAATGAGCTGAGCTGCACTGGTGAACACCAGGTTCAGTAACCCTTCTCCTCCTCTGGCTGCTTTTTCTAATATTTGCACCAGGAACTTGTCCTCAATGCATTCCAGGAATCTCCTGGACTGCTTACAGCCAGCTGTATTGCTTTCCCAGCAGATATCTAGGTGGTTGAAACCCCCCAGCAGGATGAGAGCCCGTGAGCACAACGTAACTGAACCGAAGCAAAAAGTCCTCACCAACAGGCTCCCCCTGGTCATGCAGTCTGCAGTAGACCCCAACCACAGCATGCCCTTTGCTGGCCTGGTCATTGATTTTTAGCCGTAAACTTGTTCATGGCAGTTTCTCAGAGGCAGCTCTTCACAGTCCATCCATGTTAGAAAGGTGTGTGGCTTTCTTTGGGAAGAACACCACCATCTTACATGCAGTGTGGGAAAGGCAGCTGGACCGTACACTTTAAGGGTGCAGGAGGTACCAGGCAGCTTTTGTGGCAGCCAGGATGAAAAAGAGGTGGGGAAGTGGTTATGACTGTCAGTATCCCCTACTCTCCACTTACAGTGTATTTCCATTGGAAAAGGGATAGTAAATACCCTTTTCACCATCTGCCAGAACAAACAAAAATACTTTTAAATCTCCAACATCTCTGGGTTTTGGGAAGGGTGTGGACACCACCATTGCAGATGCAATAGTTAATATAGCATTAAGCTAAGGGATAAAAAAAAAGGAAACTTGGAATGAAAGCATACACTGTATGTACATTACACAACGGAAGGAGGTTTAGTTAATTAAAACAGATGAAGCCTGAGCTGTGTGAATGATGAAATGCTGTCAGTTTGACAAACCCTAAACTTGACCTACTTGCCTATTTAAAAAACAAACATCAGGATAATAAGTTCATTTTCCCTCAAAATTACCCTTCCTATGAGTCAATGAAACAAACATACTTGAAATGTCTTACTTGGGTATTATTTATACCTGGGTTTTGGTGGTCTGGACATGAAATTCAAAGGGAAAATTCCACTCAGAAATCAGGAAGGCAGGTGATTTTTTGCATGTCCAGTACTACAAAGAAGAACTTTCTACAGAAGACTTACAATGTTTCACATTTACTTTAGAAACCACCCTCATAAAAATAGAGAGTACTGTGCTTGAAATTGTTCTGATAATGCCAGTAAATGGACAGTATGCATATTCAAATTGAAACATGTCACTTAACTGAGAAGGTGGGAGAATGTGTTGGTAAGGCCATGGGTTGTCAGCCTTCCAACTACATTTTGAGTAATGATTTGCAAGCCTCTGAATCATTATCTTTATACCATTTGCTATTCTTTAACCACCTCTACTATCCCCAAATGATGCTACAGGCAGGCTTTAAGGTTGCAGCTCTTTATAAGCCCTTGTCTACAATAGCACACTACCCATTGTTGACACTGGGTGTCGTTGATTTGGGGGCCAGATAAACGATCAGCTGCAGATTAGAACAAAGACCCCTTGGCTGCCTTTGAAACAGTAGGAAGAAATGTTGTCTTTGGTGGCAGAACAAGGCAAGTCATTTTGCATTCATTTCAGAGCTGGAGGTGCCAGCACAGGTGGGTGTTACTGGTGTGGCCAAACCTGGAGCACACATTTTCCTCCTGTCCTCCCACAGCCTTCACGTGGGCTACAGTGCCGACTACTGTTAACGCCAGGACTTGTGAGTGATTCTTTTTTCAATCCCTTAATAGATCATTAAGGTATTATCTTGTTTGTATGCCTGTTTGCTCTGGCTTCAGGGTACTTTACAGCAGGATTGTAATTACCACCTCCATCACATTAAGATGTTACATGGGTGAAAATGTCCTTGAAGGCCTCCAAAGGACAAAACTTCCCCTTCTGCACTCACACCTTTTTAGTAGCCTCCACCAGCCTAGGACTACTAAATTTGCAGTGTCAAAATTTGCATTAGCTTTATGGTACTGAGAACAAAACACAGCAGTTAGGAATCACTGATACATTAAAAAGATAAGAGCAGGAACCAGTGTCAGAAAAGGCTCCTGTCCTTAGCCTCTGCAGAAGGGGTTAGTAAGACCGACATTGCCACAGAGCTTGGACCTACTCTTCTGCTTTGCTTCCAGCTAAAGGCACATTTCAATTAGACATCTGTTCTGCTCTCAAGGGACTCCCTTTGCATGGAGTAATGTCTGGGAAGTGTCAAAATAGTTCTAACACATCCTTCAGGAGGCAGGGTCTGACCAGGCATTATGGCGTACCTTGCATTCACAAGACAGCAAAAGATAGAAACTGGAATGGGTAGGGATTACCATCTTGTTTTCCCTCCTCCCTCAGATTAAAAGTGGTTGTTAATTTAATAATTGTTATGCAACAATCTCCCAAGTGCTCATTCCCATTAACTATCAGTATAATTTCAAGAAGGACGCAGCACTGGTTTTCAACTAACTGTAAAAATCCCATACTTGTTAAGCAGTGCAGTTGCAATCCTACTGCGTGAAGCAACACAAGCCTGTCCCAAGGCACCAGGGAGGTTCTGCAAACACCTCCCCTGCCTTCAGTAGTCAGGTCCTCAGACCAAAGTTTTTGAAGATATTTATTTTCATGCTGCTTTTGCAACCATGGCTCAAGACTCAGTCAGTTTCCTGATGGTCTGCACTCCTCTGACTGAAGAGTAGAGTCAATGCATCACAGCAGAGATACGCAGGATGAAGATGGATTTTTTTTTTCCTGAGCTAACATGACTGACTTAGGGATCAATCACAGACACTTTTCTCTCTGTGCAATGTAAGTATTTACTTCCAGGAGGGATGCAGAGGGGTTTTAGCTTGCATCCCGCTCTCTGTAAATTGTCAGTGATACAGTTTGCTTCTCTACTTAGTCCTGAAGATGACTCCTATCCAGAGGATTTTCCCAATCATCCCAAGATCTATTTTTAGCTCAGCAATAAGGCAGGAATTTATGTTGCCTGAGAGAAACGTGCCTGTTTTGGCTCAGAAATACAGGCTTAACTTTGTCTTTGCAATGGTTACCCTTCAACCCTGTGACCCTGAACAGCCAGCAAGGATCTATAGACCTTGGGTGTTTTAAAGTTATTATGACTTGAGAATTTCTTGTTGTAAAACAAAAGTATCAGTCCCTACTCCTTTGACTCAGGATTGTTTATCTTCTCTGCAAAGATGTCCTACAGGTCCATAACCCTCAAGTTTGGATGGGATTCCTAACAGATCCCATAACCTGAATCTGCTGAACTGAACAAGTTTTGAAGGTCCCACATGACACTGCTATGCACAGAGCACTGAGTCAGTAAAGGCTATGCTCATCAAACTGTCAGAATATTGGGGCTGCAATCAGCTTTAGGTAGGATTTGTAACGAGGACATCTCAAAGTATGCTAAGTTGGCTCAGAATATCTTTACTTTTTCACTTACTGCCATATGTACA